AGCAGACGGACCGAGTTCCTACGATTACTGAAATGAGAAAGCGTAATTGCGTGAAACAAACACACACACACACACACACACACACACACACACACACACACACACTCCGAAGCCTTCATGACAACAATCGCTGACAACTGCTGAGATGAACACACTTTTAAACCCATATCAGCATTGTCCTCTCATACTTCAACGTATAATTAAGCAGCTAATGATGTGGAGAACACAGACGTATGCTGGCATGAGTAAATATTTTACTGGCCGGTGAACTTCTGCATTCACCGAACTTCGACTTTGAATCAAAACAGAGCTTTGCATGAGTTCAGACAGGAGTCGGGGCGTCACAAGGCCCCTTTCTGTCCAATCGGTCACTGCTTCAGTCCAGCCCACCCACTCAGCTGCTTTATAACTGAGGCATTCATTCTGCTGCAGCACATCACCGCCACGCCGGCCTCTGCCTCCTCCCCGACCAGCCATTTGTAAGGTCTGTACAAATAAAATGGAACTGAATAGAATAAGCCCGGTTGTTCCCATATCGTGGGACTGCAGGATGGAGACGGTTCATTACTGTATGTAGTCTGGATTCTGTAAGGTGAGGACCAGGATCTAGTTGGTCTCCTTGTTCTTCAGTTTATACTGTATTTATTTGAATATTGTGAATTTAAGGCTCTGCCGGGGGGTTTGTGATCTCAGTGACTGTCTGTTCAGAGTGTTTGAGAGCATCACTCGAGCAGAGTCACCACCAAACTCCATCCATCCATCCATCCATCCATCCATCCATCCATCCATCATCTTCCACTTATCCAGGGTCGGGTCATGGAGGCAGTAGGTGCAGCAGGTCATTCCAGACCTCCCTCCCCCCGGTGACCCTTTCCAGCTCTTCCTGGGGGATCCCGAGGCGTTCCCAGGCCAGCCCAGAGATATAATCCCTCCAGCGGGTTCTGGGTCTGCCCCGGGGTCTCCTCCCAGGTGTTTGGAAGACCTCCAGAACCACCAAACTCAAACGCAC